TAAATGTCTTGCCATATTATAGCAAGAATATGGAATTGTTTACAAAATCTGTAAAATAAGTTAAATTTCATAAAGCTACTTCTTTTTAGTTATTCTTGCTTTCCAGGTGAACTACAAGGTGACTTTTCTAATAGGGTCAAATCTCATAGTTAAACCCACCTCACCAAAAAAGCTCTCTACATACCCAGTAAATATTCACTGTTTGAACTAAGACTTGCCTTCAACTACTAATTAACTAAAAAGTTCACTAGGTCTAGATATGTGGTAGGGAATTATTAAGAATCAGTGAAATATCTGACCTTTTTCATAGATCTGTTGCTTGTCTTTCTGGGAGAGAGAACTGATCTTGCGGTCTAGTTTTTCTGTCTCCATTTGAGATTGTTTCTCATAATACTTGTCATCTGGCTTCATTGATAAAGTGAGCTTATGCTGATTATTCTGTAATAACACATCAACCAAAACAGATTTTATTAAAGCTGTATGCCAAGTCTGCCTCTAGAGATGTGTCCTTTGTGCTGTAGTTGCATTTAAATACTTTTAACACAACAGTAAGTGTACTTCAAGGGCTGTTACTTTACTATTGTTAGAATTATTTAGTCCCTATGTCTTATTCATAAATACATCAACACTCAACATTTTCTTTGTATCACAAAACATTAACCATTTAATATAAATCTTTAATTTTAGTCTAAATTAAAGACAACAGAATTGTAAATTAAATACCAATCATTATATTATCAACTTCTAAATGGCTGAAATTAAAATTTTTATTTATTACTTCATAAATTATTAGAACAAAGCAAATGTTGATCTAATGTATGAATAAATGTTAGGTGATTTAATTTGCTTCTTTTATTTATTTCAACAGCTAAATCATATGCACAAAATGCTCATTTGTGATATTACAGAAAGGAGAATTACAGGGGCTGGAGAGATGGCTCTGAAGAATAAGTGCTTCCCTGGCAAGCACAAGGGCCTGAGTTCAATCCCCAGTTCCACCAAAAAGAAAAAAAAAAAAAGAAAGAAAAGAGAATTACAGCACAACAAAAACACCACAAAGAGGGTCAGGGACATAGCTCAGTGGCACAAGTGCCTGCCTGGCAAGTGCAAGGTCCAGACTTCAATCACTGGTAGCAAAAAAAAAGGAAGAAAGAAAAAAACTGCAAAGAGAAACTGTAGGCTAAATCATTAAATCATGCCCCATGTTCAAAACAATGGCACATCTTTAAAATAGGTAATGTAATTTGCCAGTAATATCTTTAGGGGCCAGGGAGATGGCTCAATAGAATAAGTGCTTCCCTGGCAAGCATAAGGGCCTGAGTTCAATCCCCGGTTCCACCAAAAAAAAAAAAAAAAAAAAAGTAATATCTTTAAAAGAGTTCTACCTTTTTAATGACCATATAATAGGAAATATTATATCCAAGCACAGGGCCTGGATAGCTAAGAAAACTAGTGAACAAGCATCAAAAATATTCAACCATAGTAAAAAAAAAAAAATACATACATATATACATAGAAAACCAATTACCAACTTATATTACACTGTGAAAAACAGAAGTCTAATATTAATGTAAGCATTTAAATTTTTAGTTAGAAATTTAAACCAGATATCACATGCTTGCAATTCCAGTACTTGGGAGGCTGAAGCTGGAGCATTGCCTTGAGTTTGAGGCCAGCCTGGACAACAAAGAAAGTGTGAGCGCAGCCTAGGCAACTTAGTAAGGCTGGCTCAAAATTTAAAGAGTTTAAAAAGATCTGAGGCTATAGCTCAGTGCAAAAGCCCTGGGTGCAGTCCCAATAATGTGCAAAAAACACTTTTAAAAAAATTGTCATCCATTACTAACATAAATTGATTTACATAAACTTCCTAATGTTACTTTCAATAATTTGAAATCCAACTGCAAGGTTAAGACATAAATCTTCCATTTTCTTACCTTAAAGTACTGTTTTACTTTTTCTTGTAAAAACTTCGGATTTTCCTTAAGACATTTCCGGAATTTAGTTAATTGACTTCCCATCTGCAAAAGCTCCACAGGGTCCCCATCATGATTCCAGCAAGAAGCTATGTACTAGAAAGAAGAATTGTAAGTCCTTAGCAAACTTGATATCACAAACACTGTGCAAAGTACTGCATTACTAAATACTTTATTGCTCCAGTGAATGTCAGAGGCATGTTCTATCAAAATTCTAGATACTGCCAAACACAGCGGTGCAAGCCTATTGTCTCAGTGCCTAGGAGACTGAGGCAGGAGGATCACTGTGAGTTGAAAGCCTGCCTGGGATATATAGTCAGTTCAAGGCCAGCCTGAACTACGGTGGCTAAATCCTGTCTAAAAAAAATTCCAAAGATTTTAGATTCTGTATTTTAAAATACTATAAACAACTATGCATTAAAAATTAAGTCTTTGTTTTGTTTTTCGATATGCATTTTTTTAGTACAGGGACTACAGGGTCTCACTACACAAACTGGCCTCATAGTGATCCTTCTGTTTTCAGCATCTAAAGCACTGGGATTACAGGCGCATACCAACATGCCCAGGCTCAGTCCTCTGCTCAGGGTGCCCCGGGGGGCGGGGCCAGCACAGCACATCAGGGATCAAACCCAGGCCCCTGTGCCTGTCTAAACAGGCACTTTAGTCAACTGAGCTATCTGGTCAGCCCTTAAGTCATTATTTGATTAGAAGAAAAATTCATTTGAATCCTACTTCTTTCCAATAAAATAAAGTACAAGTTTAAATTATTTCCAGAATTAGCAATAGATTGCTACTTATCATAAATCTCTATCCACTTATTCTGTTCAAACGTATTTCACATCAAAACATAAGATACCAAAAAAATCAAAAGACAAAAAATATATTGTAAAAGTCAATTTTATATTGATCCAAAGTAGTGTAACTCTCACGGCTCAAGTGAAAAGCACTACCAATACCAATCTGCATCTCAGGGCTGCTAAGAACTAGTCATTGTAAAAGTACAAACAAATCCAAAATGAAGGTGGCTGAGAAAGCACATACTGATGTCAGGACAAGTCCAAAGTTGGTAGTCTGATGCTTCATTTGTATTTCAAGTTTATGAAGTAAAGCTTCAATTTGTGCATTTTCAAATCCTTTCCTAAAGAACACAATTTATAACTGAGATGTTGAAAAGAAATAAAGCATTTTAGAAACACAAGGTAGAAACACCATATTTAAACAACTACATCAGAACCAGTATCTGTTCTACTTCACACAGAGCAAGCTACACACCGTTTGCTGAGTCTTCTCCCCACAGAACACTCACGAATGAAGGATGAAAGCAAACCATTACAAAGGCACGCACTTACTCAGCTACTTCATCAATTGTTTTGTCTACAAGGTCTCTGACAGTCTGAACATCTTTCTCAGCAATCCCTTGGAGGCCAATGCTGAAGTAGGCCTCACGGGTGTTGCCATTATATCTAGAATACCAAAAAGATACTGGGTCAGAATCCATCCACAGTTACCACTCACCTGTGCTCTTTATGTAAAGGTCAGAAGAGGTGCTGAAGGGCAGGAAAGGGAATGGGGAACAAAACCAAGTTATACCATGTACAGGTACAAATTCCTTATGATGAAGGTGATCATCATGTATACCTAAAAATGTGTCAATAAGCTTAATTTAAAAAAAGATCAAAACTGCCTAGGAACTTTAAACTCCAGATTTCTGCTTTTAAAAATGTTCCTCAAGGGGGCCTGGCCCTAGCTCAGGCCTTTAAGTGGCTGCTTCCACAAAGCTGTCAGCCTCAGCTTGCTGGAGTTCGAACCTCACAACTCTCCCGCTGGCCAAAAGTGCCCTGAAGGCGTTCGAGGAACAAAAAAAAAAAAAAAAAATCCTTATTCCATTGGGGCCGGAGAGATGGCTCAGCAGGATAAGCGCTTGACTGGCAAACGCAGGATCTGAGTTCAATCCCTGGTTCCGCAAAAAAAATAAAAAATAAAAAATAAAAAAATAAAAATAAAAATGTTCCTCAAGGGGATACAGATGAATGTCCATTTTGTATCTGTGTATTCAAAATGGTTAGGATAGATACATAGTTACATTCTCTTAATGAATACAGGGATTTGTTCTAATAATGTTTGTAAACAGGATATCAAGTCTGCATCTTGTATAGCAAATAACCACTAGGAAAAGAGTATACAATGTGTTAATTATTGGAACTGTCTACCAATTTGATTTGAAACTGTCTCATTGCTATTTGTTTCTCAATAAAATTATGAAAAAAAAAAAAGTTCCTCAGTGTTCTCAGATATTCACTTCTCAGATGCAATAAGAAAAAAGTACACTCATGTACTTTGAAATAGCTATAAATATTAATACACAATTTCTTACACCAAAACAAATCTAGATATTGAGAACTGCTGAGTTTTGCCAAATCTTTAAGATTTCAAAGAATATTTAATGATGTGAATTTCTTAACAGTGAACAGTATACATTCTAAGAACTTGAAGAAGTTATTTATTTTCTTTTCGGCCAAAGATCCCTGGAACCATAACCTAATTCAGTGCTACCATCAGAGGGTGGTCTATCCTGAACACTGTGGTACAATCAGTGGCATTGCTAGCCTCCACTCATAAGATCCCAACAGCACCCCTCCACTTATAACAACCAAACATGTCCCAGACATTAACAAGTGTCCCAAGAGGAGAGAGCAAAACTGCCTCCACTGACCACAGCTTATCTAATAAAACTTACCCAACATCAGGAGAAAAGTCTGTGCCAAGTCCAGATTCAATTAAGGCTTTGTAAAAGGGGGAATTGGGCCCCGAAATTAAGAGTGAAGACAGAAGATTTAACGTGAAGGCTTCAAATGTATCAGTGATACTTCATTGGAGAAAAACAAAGACAAAAGGGAGAATCATTGGCCGTTGTTTTTTATATCATTTAAAATCACTAATTAAATAAAAACTATTACTTTCAAACAAGCTCAAGTTCCACTAGAAATTCTTGCATTTTAGTAACTATATGGACAAAACAGAATACTTTTTAATATACTTTTTTTCCCCATGAATTTGCACATCCTAGTGCAGGGCTATGCTAATCATCTCTGTGCCTTTCCAGGGTTAGTGTATGTGCAGCCAAAGTGAGCACCATACTGGGTTTTTCTGTTTTTGTTGTTGTTGTTGTTGTTGTTGTTGTTTCTGTATTTTTTAGGGAAGGGTCTACAGGGTGTTCAGGGTCTCACTACTAGATCTGACTCGTAGTGATCCTCCTGTTTATAGCCTCCCAAGAGCTGTGATTACAGGCGTGTACAACCACGCCCAATCTCAGTTGCTGTCTCAGTGTGCCCTGGTGGTGGGGCCAGCACAGCAGGCCCAGGGATCGAACCCCCAGCCCCTGTGCCTGCTTGCAGGTGCTTTTATCTGTTGAGCTATTTGGCCAGCCCTTGTTTGGTACTGGGAATCAAACTTAAGACCTTATGCTTGCCACACAGGCACTTGTGCTGCTGAGCTATATCCCCAGCTTCTGTTTTTTTGGGTTTTTTTTTAATCCAAACCAAATATTATAGTCGCACTGCACATCAAATATTCATCACATGAAAGTGTGCCAAGTTCTTTTTCATGTTTCAATTATAGCTAAACATCATTATCAACACACAAAGCAGACAAGAAACAAAAGATGAGGCGAGTGATAAGTCCAAAGCATATAGCTCCCACACAGCAGCCAGTGCTCAGAGGGGCAGGCAGAAGCAACATGCCTTCTCTTCACCCTGAGTTCCGACACTGCCACTCTCAAGTCCAGAATTTCAGTTTCCTAAGTGGCATATTTTTCTGAGCCTAGTGTTCAGAGTATTTATGTTACACTCAAAGGAACTTGTGACCACCAAAATGTTAACAACTGCTGTTCTGAGGCAATCTTTTCTCAGAAGGAATAGAGCTTTCAAAAAATAAAAATACGAAGGGCGTTCCTTCTGGATGGCTGCCAAAAATGACTCCCTCTATAACCATTTTGTATGTAATTAAAACTGTAGACATTTTGCTCTCTATTCATAAACCCAGCTTGAATCCACAATCTTTTTACTTTTTTTTTTTTAATGTATTTAGTGCAGAGTCTACAAGGTCTTGCTACACAGATCAGACTCGTAGTGAGCCTCCTGTTTTCAGTCTCCCAAGTGCTGGGACTATATTTGTGTGCCATCACACCCAGTCTCAATTGCCAGTGTACCCTGGAGGCAGGGCCAGCCCTGCATCTTAACTGTATATTAATTTATATTCAACTGCCAAATTCTCCTAGCCTTTTCATTATTTTCCCACTGTTGTTTGGCATATAAGAACATTAACAGAGCATACTTACTCTGGCAGGAGGAAGCTAACACTGACAGTTGTCTGTTTAGAGGCATCTGTAGTCAATGAATCCGGGCCACAAGTTATATGGAATTCTCTCTGTAAAATGACAGATGCATTAAGTAGACAAGGTCTGAATGGCTTTAAATTGCCATAGACTATCCAGACACTGAAAATGATCCAAGATATGCTTCCACTAAGTTAGCCTTCTTTTCAAACAAATAACCATTTAGTCTTCTTTTTTTTTTTTTTTTTTTTTTTTTTTTTTTTCTTATGCATTTGGTACAGCGTTTCACTACTACGCAGCTCAAACTTGCAGTGATCCTCTTGTTTTCAGCCTCTCCAGCGCTGGGATTCTGGGATTACAGATGTGTGCCACTGCGCCTAGATTCAGCTGCCAGCTCAGGGCACCCTGGGGGATGGGCCAGTGCTGCATGCAGAACCTGGGATTGAACCCTGGTCCCCATGCTTGCCAAAGCAGGTACTTAGTCCATTGATCTATCTCGCCGACCTTCCATTCTTTAGTCTTGAAAACCTCCTACATGTACTCTATAGCCCACAATATTTTAGAACCCTGTTAGTGTACAGTTCAAGCCTTAACAGGAGGTAAAAACTAGGTGGGACACTTACAGGCTTATCCCAGAGCTGTTGGGCTGGCACCATGGTATTTGGTTCAATTTTCTGAAATTTACTCAGCGCTTCTTCATGTATTTGCTTCAGGTGCTGTTCTAATTCAAAGTTCCCATAGGTGAAGAATCTAAAATTTTGAGGTACTATGTTAGTCTATTTTAATATAAATGACTAGAAAATCACAGTGATGGCTTTTTGCATGAAATGAATGATTTACAGTATACAGTCAGTCCCCTCCATACTGATGGAACTTTATATATTTGCCTTTGCCCTTTGATGGGATAAGAGGTTCAAACAAAATACATCAATAAAATTACGGAAAAAAAATACAAATCATGCAAGATGACTTAGATGCAAATCCTGCAAAAATGGATTTTTCTGTTTTAAGTCTGCTATAAAAGTATTACAAAATTAGCCTACTTGTTAAATTACACCCAAGCTATAGTAATAAAGTAAGATTAAAAGATTAAAAGACATCTAAGATTAAAAGACAAACAATTTCCTATAATTGAATTTTAGGTCACAAATTTCAAATTATATGTTTTTAAGAATTACTTAACCAAAGGACAAGCTTACAAAGCAGACTTGATCTTTTTCTGTAGTATAAACTTACCTGAAGGATGAGAGGTGAAGAACTATTATATTAAAGATCTTCTAAGGGAGAGCC